GCGCTGATTCTGAATCTGAAGTAATATTCCTGTTTTTGTCCCATCTTGATGTCCTTTTCTGTGTGCTGCTTCATTGGAATTACCACAGCGTGGAAGAGGGCAAAAGTAAAGATGAATTTATCCAGGCTGCGCAACAGAAGAAAAACACATTACACTCCAATTGTGGAGTTTTTACACCCCACAACAGATGTGATTAGCCTCCATACTGAGGCAAATAAAGAGAAATCCTGTGACTTTGAAAGAAAATTCATACCTTAACCCAAGAAATGTTTTTCTTTCTAGAATGATAACACATAAAAAAAACAAATACTTATTCATGTATGCTCATGTACCCCTTAAGAAAAGGGGTAAATTGATTTTCAGTGGTGTGGCACTGTCACTTGGCTTTGGCCAGGAAAACCTTGAGTCTAACCCACCCCAAGTTTGGAATGTGCTAAGAGAATTTGCAATGGCTTGGGTTAAGTTGCCAGGCTAGGTGACTTAACCCCATATATCCCTGAGTGGCAACCCCATTGATGCCAGGCTAAGCACAGGTCTACTACCCTGAAACACAATTACAGGTTAGTGGCCATCAAATTTTACAACCACTAAACTGAGGTTAAACAGATGCATCCACAACAAATGAGCAGCTATAGCATCCCCTATCGCACTTCACAATCCAAACCCACACAACCAATGTGGTTTCTACCTCAATGATAGCTGACCTGCCACTTACCCTTGGGTCAGCTAGCCTGACACCAAGGTCAAAAATTGTAAATGCTCTAAGAGGGGGCTGGGAAAGTGCCATGAAGGCTTATAGCTGAACACCAGCCCCTCACAATCATAGGGCTGGGGCTGTTGGATTGTGGTTCTGCTTCTCTAGGTGTTATCATAAATTTTGGGGTGTACTACTTTATCACCTGTCAATTACAGGCTTTCACCCTCCAAATGGATATTTTTTAGACACAAGTAGCATTCATTTACCCATACCCAGCCATTCATCTCCAAGCTTCCTCAGTACAGTGGTTAGGATACTTGACATGGACATAAGAGACGTGGGTTCAATTTCCACAGAAAACATATTCTTTTCAGAGTTTCACAGGTGCAAAGCGCGAGTCACTCACTGCCCAGCAGAGACCTCCAAAGAATGGGCTTGCCAGTAAAGTTGCCACTGGCCTGAGAGCTGCAGGCAGTTTTGGGGGGGTAAAGATTTCCCTTCTTTTTCTTACAATTGCACCAAGGTGTTGCATCAATGAATAGGCCTGAATGAGACCCATCCGCATGTTAGTCCTTTCATCCCTCCCCCCCCCCCCCCCATACCCGCTTCAGATGTGTTTGAACCCCTTTTAATCCTTCTTTCCTCATGTCATCTAGAGGAGTAATATCTGTATTTCTGCAATTTCTGGTCTGTATCATTGTATCTTTCATTGGGTTGGGAAGAATACAGGAAATTAGTCGAGTTGGGAGCATTGGCTCTTCAAGTAATGGATTTTTTTGGATAGCAAGGAAAGAGGCCTATCCAGGGGGGATGATTGAATTGAGGCCTATCCAGGGGGGATGATTGAATTATGAAATATCTAAGGGAAAATGGTGTTCAAGTCTGCCTGTGACTTTTTCATGTTTTTCCCCATGTCTCCTGGTTGACGAGTTATTTCGACCGGAACCATGGGGTTGCCTGAAATGCAGCCTAAGCCACAAGCTCTGAGGCCAAAGTGCGCACTTCACTTGCAAGCCCCTCCGTCGGATGGGGAGCTTCGCGCCCTCCTCCGGGAGGGGATTGGTTTAAGCTAGTGAAGGCTTGGCCATCGGCCGAGTTGGCTTTAGGGTTAACCCAGCGCAATTAGGCACAATTTTGCCAAATTTGGCTGTGTGCCCAGCGGCGTTTGATACACCATATGTCTCAGCCGCCTGCTCCTTGTGACAGCCGTGTGTCAGGGCTCCACTGCGGCGCATCAGACTCGCTGCTGGTCCGGCCCACATGTTCATCCCGCTCAGTCAGTCAACCTCTTCTTCACCACAGACAATAGCACCATGGGCAAACGCGAGAAGAAAACTGGGAAGGGACGACTGGACAAGTACTACAGACTCGCCAAGGAACAAGGCTATCGCGCGCGATCAGCATTCAAGTTAATCCAGCTCAACAAGCGGTACCAATTCTTGGAATCTGCAAGATGTTGCATCGATCTGTGTGCCGCCCCGGGTGGTTGGCTCCAAGTAGCTTCAAAATGGATGCCCGCGAATAGTACGTCCACGTTATACCGCATCCACAGAAATACCATCTTCGCTCTGGATTGCTGATTTCTTTTTTTCATCGCCCTCACGTCTCAGGCTTGATTCTTGGAGTCGATCTAGTACCAATTAAACCAATCCCTAAAGTTGTGACGGCCACTGAAGATATTCGGACTCAAAGTTGCCGGATGTGGCTTCGAAGTGAACTAAAAGATTGGAGGGCTGATGTGTAAGAACATATTCTGCTGCTTATCTTCGCCGACAGCTGCACACTAATCTATTGCTCATGCCTAATTTTAACTTAGTGTTCTTCACGATGGAGCTCCTAACGTGGGGACAGCTTGGGTTCAAGACGCCTTTAGCCAGTCCGAGTTGGTGCTTCACGCCTTGAAGCTAGCGACGGAAATGTTGGCACCGAATGGAACGTTTATCAGCAAAGTTTTCCGTTCGAAAGATTATAATTCATTGCTTTATATCTTCAACCAACTATTCAAAAAAGTTGAAGCCACAAAACCGCCATCGTCCCGTAACGTTTCGGCCGAAATCTTCGTTGTCTGCCAAGGGTTCTTCGCTCCCAAGAAAATCGACCCCCGACTTTTAGATCCCGCTCATGTATTTAAGGATATCGAATTGACGAAGAAACTCACCGACGATCAAGCTGAAGCGAGTAGTAGCAAGCTTACACCTAACGCCCAGAATGTATTCAAACCGGAGAAAAAACGTCGAACCAGAGAGGGTTATGAAGAAGGAGACTATACCTTACACAAATCTTTCTCAGCCTCTGCCTTGATCAACGCAAGGGACCCTGTCAGTATCCTCGGGACCGCCAATTGCATCAAGTTTGAAGATTCTCAACAAGATCAGGCAATATACAAACTCAAGGCAACAACTGCAGAGATCAAAACTAGTTTGACGGATCTGAAAGTTTTGGGCAAAGGTGATTTTAAGAAACTTCTGAAATGGCGCGCCGCTGTTCGAGAATTACTGGGGATCGACAGCAAGCCTGCAGATCAGACCCTATCCGAGGCTCCCGTGGAGGTCGAGCCAATGGATGAAGAACAAATCATGAAGGAAGAGGTTCGTCCTGACTCTCTTGTGAGTCTCGGAATGAAACGCGAAACTAATTTCCTCTACCATAATGCGACTTTCAGCTTGTACGTATTCAAAACGAAAAAGCTTTGGAAAGCAAACGCGAACGACGGAGACTCAACGAGAAAAGGACTCGTGATGTGCAGCGCATGCAACTTCAAATGACCACGCCCATGGACATCGGCATCGAAGCCGCCGACGGTGAAGTCTTTGGCCTTCAAAATATGGATTCTCACGATTTGAGCTCAGAAGATGGCATGCACTATGGTGACGGTGATGATGATTCAGATTCTCCGCTGGATACAGACCCGGAGGCAGATGAAGACGAGGAAGAGCTATCAGAGGATGAAGCCAAACTGATGTCTCTCGAGGAAGGCTTAGACCTTGCGTACGATGAGTATCAAGAGAACCAGTTACGAAAAGACGCTAAAAGGAAAGCCCGCGAAGAAGCACGACGTTTGAAGCACAACGATGACCCAGAAGCAGAATGGACTGGTTGTAATGACCACAATAATCTCGCTGATGATGAGGACGATGAAATTGGAAGCGGAGATGACATCGAAGTCGTTCGACAGAAACGGGTCAAGTTTCAGAAAGGAATTGAAGAAAACGATGATGACAGTGATAGCGATGGCGAGGACGTGACCCTCCAGGCTAACCGAATTGTGGCTTCTAGGAAAAAACAAGAATCTGCAGCCCAGCCTTTGCCATCGAAGAAGCCAAAGCTATTGGTAAATTTTGAAGATGAGAAAGACGACACTATCGAGGCACAGACATCTGCTGCTGATTTGTGGTTCGACCAGCCCGTATTCAAAGCTTTGGGTGGCGTCGATAGTCTACTTCCAGAGTGCTCCGAAGACTCAGAGGTCAGCGATGCAAACATTTGCTTTGACGACGACGAAGACAAAAAATATCTCGAAGTATCAGAAGCAGACGAGAGTGACATTGAAATGGAAGAAGTAGATCCCGAGTCGACTGGGGGGGTTTGGGACGACGAACTACCGGATCCGGATGAAAAGAATGCTCAAATCGTTCGAGGTATGCCTTCTGCAAGTATAACTTTATTCAATTATTCTGCATACAAATCTGACGATTAATGTTTAACTGTTGTCCAGAAAAGGGGCTACTTACTCCGCAGGCCATCCAGCTTGCGCTTGACTTGGTTAATCGAAAGAAAACTAAGGACCAACTGATCGATTCTGGCTTCAAACGTGATGCGTTTTTCGATGATAAAAATGAGCTACCCACGTGGTTCTTGGATGATGAAATGAGGCATTTCAGGGAGCACGTGCCAGTGACGAAGGAAGCAGTAAAAATCCTGAGGGATAAGATGAGAGCACTGGATGCGAGGCCGATCAAGAAGATTGCGGAAGCTAAGGGGCGTAAGAAGTTGCGAACACTGCGTCGAATTGAGAAAACTCAAAGCAAAGCGAATACAGTCAACGAGACTAGCGACTTGACTGAGAAAGAAAAGTCACTGGAAATCACCAAACTGATGAGCCGGATGCACAAAACCCCCAAGACAAAGAGTGACATCAAAATCGTCGTGGCTAAAGGTGCAAACAGAGGTCAAAAAGGTAGACCTAAGGGTGTGAAGGGACGATATAAGGTTCGTCATTCTTCTTTCTACTGAGTTTTAGTCAGCTGATTTTTTTTTTTTTTTCAGATGGTCGATTCTAGAGGCAAGAAAGAATTAAGAGCACAGAAACGGAAGGAACGATCCTCTTCGAAGAGAAAACATAAGTGACTGAACAGCGGCTGGATCCCCACGTAGATTGATTGTGCCGAGGGCTACGATTTTACTTTTTACCCCTTGACCACACCCATCAGAACGACACATTTTTTTTGTCTGCTCAGATTTCGCTTGTATGACATGTTTTCCTTGATCGTTTTTATTACTTCTTGGGTTCTCCACACGAATACAGCTTTGTCTCAGCGTCCACGCCAGTCATTCTTGGGCTACATGCTTGCAGCCTTTTCGTCACCAACAAACCATGAAAGCAATATGGGGTGTGCATACCGAGACATTCTTTCATAATAAAAACCAAATCCTGGTCTTGCCTTTCTGTGTGTGCTTTTAGCTTACGGAGTCCAAGGACAAACATGGCTTCTATGCAACGTCAACCAGTATACGAGCTTCCGCGTTGATGTGTGTGTGGTGGGCAGAAGCCGGGGGGTTGTATTACAATTTCAAGGTTTCTTGCCAGAGAGAAAAAAGCAAGAACCAAGACACATGTGGACTTGGTTGATGTACGGAGAGATTGAAGAAAATGAAAACGGAATGCTTGTGTGCTGTTGGGTCTAGGCACAGGAACGGGACGAAACGGAGGTGGATAAATAGTTGGTCGGAGAGTCCCGCGCCGGGCTGCAGATGGTACATCTGACGCGAAGATAAGGGTGGGAGGAGGAGCGGTGAGTGTTGGCAGGGAAGAGAGGTCTGAGAGGGGCAGACAAGGGCTGTCTGGAAGGGGATCAATGTGGGGCGATGGTTTCGGGGGAGAGAAGTCAGCAGCGGGAAGAAAGTGGCGCGAGTCTGGCGCGGGCCTGGCCCGAGCCGGCGTGGATGCAGGGACAGTAAGGCTTGTGGGAAATCGTGCATCCGCCGCCCATCGTAGGTGGTCGGCGCGGCTCGTGGCCATCAGTCAATGAGCCGCCGGACACCCGCCCTCTCTCTTCTTGGTAGCCGTTGAGCATCGGTCTAGCTGCTGTTTATCTAGATAAAGAGGTTGCTGGACTTGCGCGGTTATAGATCAAGTGTATAG